TATGACATCTCTTCGAGCAGTTGGAACTGACCTACGTACTCGGAAAAGGAAACCGCAAAAAGGTACGAGATGATCGTTACAACGCTTAGAGCAGGGGGCGCTCTTAGGATTTAATCTCGAGGGGAGCCGAGTTGAACGGATAAGAGCAAATGCAGCTTAATGCAAATGCAATGTAAGTCATTAGGTGAGTATAACAATTGTTTTCCTCTCTTTTTTCTTTGAACAACGTCAGAGCCGCTTGCCCTACCCTCGGTGCTGATAAAAGATAATCCACAAGTTGAAGTTTCCAACGATCCGGTGCATCCAATTTGAAGGAAAGTTTTATCAATATTTTGACATTTTATATATATGTATGTCTGTATGTATGTATGACCCTTTCATGTCACCTTAAAGGGTTAAACGGCGTTTCCAAAATACGATCGCAGCAGGAGTACCCCGTCCAAGTTCCCTTTTCTTCGGGACTCCTTTCCTCCGTCGGACTCTCGAAGAAGTCCTTGGTGAGGACACTCGCGCGAAGAGGAGCGGGCCCCGCGTTCGTCGAGGGGACCGACGGAGGGAGAGGAGCTAGGAGTCCCGGGGCCCGGGGTCCGGGCCCCCGTACTCCCGATCGATTCACTCTTCGTTTTCCGCGAGAACTCTCGAGACGGGGTCTCCAAAGGTCAGCCGACACGACAGGCGCCTCACTTGGGGAGGTCGAGCTGGTGTCGGGACTGGTCGGGACTGGTTGGGCCCCGCGAGAAGAGCGGCGCAACCACTCGCGGCCCCGCGTTCTCCGGCAGCGCCGGCAGCGCGAGAGGAAAGCTGGCGCTCACCTGAGCGCTCACCTGAGAGCTCACCTAGGCCGTTCGTGCGCCGCGCTATGCCGCGCCGATAAAAAGACAATCCCGATGCAATCAATGTCCATTGGAAACCCCGCCGATTTGCATTATTCAGCGGTAAGGGGAAATCGACGCGGACGCGCTATCTAGCGCCCGATAAGCAGCCCCGAATCCGGAAGGACCCGAAACAGCGGACGGACCACGTGGTTTGGTACATCGCGATCGATTAAAGTGATATGAAAGGGTCGATCTATATATTAAAACGTCAAAATATTTATAAAACCTTTTCTCCAAACTGGGTGCACCGAGTCATTTGAAACATTAACACGTGATTAAGGAGGCCCTAAGGAAGTACGCGATGCTTGTAAAATTTCATTTATTCCAGAAAAATGTGATTTTCGTTCTACTCTAGGCTAAATAAGAAAATAATTCTTTTTAAAAAATGATATTTCATGAGCATCGATCGCGTCGCATCATGTTACATTCAGGTGATATGAAAGGGTCGTTCTATATATCATAACGTCAAAATATTTATAAAACCTTTTCTCCAAACTGGGTGCACCGAGTCATTTGAAACATTAACACGTGATTACGGAAGTCTTAAGGAAGTACGCGATGCTCGTGAAATTTAATTTTTCACAGAAAAATGTGATTTTCGTTCTACTCTATGCTAAATAAGAAAATGATTCTTTTTAAAAAATGATATTTCACGAGCATCGATCGGGTCGCATCATATCACCTTAAGGGTCATTCAACATATCGAAACGAAGTATAACGAACTCTACGAAAGGGTCATTCTACATATCAAAACGTCAAAATATTTATTCAATATTTATCAAAACTAGTTGCGCCGAGTCATTTGAAACTTTGGCGCATGATTATGAAGGTCTTAAGAAAGTACGCGATGCTCGTGAAATTTCATTTTCCACAAGAAAAATGTGATTTTGATTCTAGTCTAGGCTAAATAAGAAAAACATTTTATTCGAAGAATGAAATTTCATAAACATCGCGTTCTTCCTTAGTGCCTCCATAATCATGTGCCGAAGTTTCAAATGATTCGGTGCACCCAATTTGGGAAAAAGTTTCGTAAATATTTTGACTTTTTGGTATGTATATATGACACTTTCATATCGTCTTAATCGACCGCGATGTGTCATACATAAATTCTTCAGCGTTCTATAATAACCCGTATAAATCAAACAAATTATTTTCATTAAAATAATTACGCCAGTGATATGATTAACTTTCTTATACATACCGGTGGTATTCGAACTTTTTCCTCCGCGTACCATTATTATAATTCTTGACTGTTCATTACCCACCAAACACGTTTACATAACAATAATATAACCGTTATATAACGTCTGTGACATGTAATGTAACATACATATAACATATAAGTAAGATTTGTATTACTATTTCCTCCGCAGCTGTATAACACTTTTATAAAACGAATAATCTAACATATACATAACATATCGGTAACATGTTATATTTTATGTTAATATTATATAATTGCACTGCTTACAAGTTTGTAATAATGTTACCGAAGAGTAATAATTCGACCTTATATGATATTAATGTATCTTTTGAATAACATTCGTTATATATCATGTTATTCCAGTGTTATGTCACTGTAACATAGTGTTTGGTGGCTATATCCCAAAAAGTTATTGCTGCATGAGTCAAGTTGTACATAATCATATATAAAATTAATTGAAATCGAACTAGTGTATAAGATCATGAATCTTAAACGATAAAAAGGAAAGCGAAGGTATTAAATGAACGATACATGTTTCCTCTGGAAATAATTTTTTTTTTTCTGCGGTTCCAATTATTAACGATGAAATATTTTAAACATTACTTCATAAGATACCTTCGCATATCCTCGTTTAAATTCTACTGATATTGTAGGTATATTATGTGAGTGACGAGGTGCCTCAGGCGCTTCAGAAATTGCCCCGGAGTGGGCGAAAATGAGGTCCCCGATTTCACCCCTTTAGGGGTGAAATTTCGAAAAACGCTGAAATACCTGTTTACTTATTTGCAGCGAAGTATTTACATAATAATTTGCACTCCTCAAACTTTAGCGGCCATCGAGCTACTGAGGGATTCTTTATAAAAAATGTATATAACGCTCACTTTTTACCTCCTTAAGGATGAAATTTCAAAAGAAACCTTTCTTAATAAATGTTCGCGTTATAAAAGCAACGCATAATGGAAATTTCACGATTCCAGCTCTAGCGGTTTGGCTTGACCGATAATCAATCAGTCAGGACTTTGTTTATATATATATATATATAAATGTCAAAGTACCGTATCTAAAACACATTGCAATATTGAACTATCAAATTACACTTAAGAAAAATGTAACTATGAAATAGGCGCCAGTCGTCACAAGAGACACGATGTACGACTATAGAAGATAATACAATAGGGGAAGAAGGGAATATACTATGTACAGTTATTCTTTCTTTCTGTAGTTGTATATATCGCACCACTTGTGGAAACTGGTGTCTATTTTGCAAGTATAATGGGAACGTATCCCGCTATTTTTTTTCTCAGTTTAGCTTCGAAAAATAAATTGAAATATTTGTGAAGAACTATGTTTAATTAGCTAACATTTAAAGAAACGGAATATTCAAGGTTGCAAAACCGTGGTTTAAAGAGACTAAGACCTTTTTAACACATTCGTGACGGCTGACGTGAATTCACGTCTTTTCAAATTCTACTCCTGGTTGCCGCCGACGTGAATTCACGTCATTTTAAATTCTATTCCTGATTACCGCTGGCGTGAATCACGTCCATAACGATACACGATACAAGTTTGCGGCAACCAGTTTCAGAATTTCAATATTTTCGCCGGTGCTCAGTATTTGAAACGGAAAAAATTTACCGATCGCGAATGTGTTAAGAAAGGAATTAAAAATAGCGACCCCTAAAACATGGCTTTGTTCCCTTTCTAATGGAGCTTGCACGGATCTTCTTTGACCTAAACTTGATTAATCTCCTTTGAGGCACGTTTTCGGGGACTTATCGGTAACTATTTTTCTAAAGGTATCAACTGATAAAAGGTTTTATCGCGGAAGTTCGGTAGAGCGTCGCCATTTCTTGCGTACCAACCAGGTAAGGTTCTATTTTACAAGTGTAGTGGCAATGTATACCACTATTTTTCTCAGAAGAGATAGGCAGTTGGTTAATTGTTTAGAACTCGGCTCGGTAGCTGATCAACCAACTGATCAACTGGATAATTAAATAACTTCATTACCGATTTATTCTTCTCTAAGTTCTAGTCCAATTGAATAGCTTTCGAGCCCTTTAAAACTATTTTAGAAAGCAATTCCTTTAAGGCGCGGGCCTACACCCACTCTCGCAATAAATCAGCGGAGACTACGGCTGGAGCTCGGTTGGTAATGTATTTTTTAAATTCTCGCCATCGAAACGAAAAATCGAAAAGTCGGAGCAATCCTATCTAAGAGATCGACAGAGCATTGCACGTAACAGCGTAGAACGCACCGCGTCGACCCGACACAGAGAGAGTCGCAATTTTCTCGAATCGTTTCCCATCGCGCGATCTGCGATTAGGAATAATGTTGTAATGCGAGACACTCGGAAATTGATTTCATAGAGAATTGTTGGGATCTATCGATCACTCGAGAGCAGAAGGTGCCTTTTTCTCGATCCACATTGCGTGTCGAGAAATCTTGGAATGCAAAGTGGACGAAAACCATTCTCGGATCTGCTGTTCTTTGTCCGCACTACGAGGAGACTTGAATGTTACCATTTACCAAACGGAGTTACTGACATTGCAGTATCACGTTACACTTAAATTTAATGCAAGGAACTCTCCAAAATGTTCACTCTAATCTGAACGTGTAATTTCTCACTTATTACTGAATATGAATTCCATTAAAAAAAAAAAAAAAACATTTATTTAAATATCTATATTCTTCTAATGTTGATAAATATTTTCCTCGAGTAGGCTTAACATGTGATTTAAGCTACTAAGAAATATTATAAAGCATTGAGCAATAATTTGCCTTTAAAATGGCTTTATAGTTTGATATGACAGATTAATAGAAATACCGAAACAAAGAATACGCCATCTTTTGGAATTTTATTGTTTCGTGTTGTAGCAAGAATTTACTTCGGCACAGTAGGAGTAATATATGGGTACAAAAGTTGATTGGTCGATGGGACGATATCCATCCCAGCTCTGGGCGAAAATCGCTAGGTAAAAACATCTATAACTGTGCCAAGGTATGAATATCGTCAGTATCTCTACTTCCATCATTTAATTAGGAAATAATATAACTTTAAATTAATCAGTCTGAGATACATAGGGGTACTCGCTCGGTGTCCACGTTAACTATTAATGATCACCGATTGCATTCAAAGTCTTATCACCGTTGGAACTAATTTTCCAAAAATGACACAAATTGTGTAAGTTTATTCAACTGATCTTCGGTAAGGCTTGCTTGAGAGAAAGATTGTTCCTTATCGGCTTTACACGGTTGCACAGTGTTTCCATCAATGGTCCATCCTCTTTCAGTGATGGTATGACGAGCCTCTTCCATAGAAAGTCCTGTCATTCTTACTACGCAAAAGAGACTGAGCGAAGAATATGCTTCTGCTATTAAAGACAGTGCTCTTTCCCGAACATTCTCTAAAATGTATTAATGTTTCTTCTCAATTGTTACATTCCTCAACGATAATGCCCTTTTTAAATTCATCAGTGAAACGTACCTTTCAGTGCATTCATTATATGTTTTACATCCTCGCTCCACTCAACTTTAAGTGCTAGATGTACCGCTGGCCAATGCCTTTGCCACATGTGCTGTCCTACGACCCATATTTGCCATAATTCTGGGTTAGCTTCCTTAACGTCTGACGGTATCCTCTTCCATAAATACTTAGCATGACACCTATTATTAAAATGGGATTTTACTTTAACACGCCTAGCTACTTTGTTTGTATAAATCAATACAAATGGAAAATAAGAAGTTCAAATAAAAATATGTGTCAACTTTTTTACTTACAGATCATTCCCATGTAAATATAGTGCCAATAATTGGGCATATGTTTGAGGGGTTGCGATTCCATTCGGTGCCTGAGAACAATTTATTTTCCGTTTAATAAACCTCGACAACCAGGCACCCTCTTAACCACATATAAATAAATATTAAATGTTTTCACGGAATATCTCTAAGTAATACCACATTAACGAATCTTAGAATAAAGACTGCAAATGACACACGGACATAACCTGTAAACTACCAAAGAGATAAGCCGCTACGTACTTCCAGTTCGGCTTTCTCCAACTCCGAAATCAACTTTCCAACTTCAGTAAGCACCATTTTGCCAGTTTGGCTCTGTACTTCACGTTTTATTGAAGAAATTTAATTCCAGAAGTATACACCTCTTTCCATAATTGATTTGATACACACGCAACTCAACAAATTTGTGCATATGAAAACCATGAACAATAAACACTTTAGATATCTTATAAGAATAAATCTTCGACTACTTCCTGTACTCTGTTTATAATTCCAACGAATAACGCTACTAGTCGATAATCTCTACATTTTCCAGCGAAAAGAAACATAAAGCAACGTAGAACAAATGAAAACTATTACAATATTTCATTGAATTTCGCTGCGCAATCCATATTCTGAAAGCCAAAAACTGGACAAAACTAATTAGTAATTCCAAAGTAAAGGTTATGACAGCCTCGACAGTTCCATCTCTAGTTACAGCTCAGAGCTCAGATTTTACAGGAACTAGTTACTCTCCAATATCAATTAAATATACAAAATATTATTGACAATCCTTCCTGTTATTCTTATTCAAATGAAACCTCATTGATTTTTATTAATTTGACGTTGCAGCCGATACTAGATCCATCTGGCGGACATCGTCTCAAACGATGGAGTTTTAAATTCAGAACGGTTCCCTCTGAAGCTTCACTGCTCCCCTCTAGGACGGCCTTCTCTGCGTAGCCGAACTCATGGGCGGTAGTTTCAAATGCGCCGGACATTGCAACGGCAGTCACGGAGACAGAACTTGACCGCGAATCCCGGGATATTAAAGAGAACAGGTGACAGTACACCAGAAGCCTCAAAGCTGCACCGTTATCCTCCACTACTTCGATCTCACGAATCCCTGGGAAAGCGAATCGACGATAGAGGAGAAACCGTTGCAAAACTCGCCACTCGGAACGAGTATTCTGATAACCAGTGATATTTTTTCGCGGCCGCTGTACAGTGATTTTTCCCCGCGCAACGGTAGCGTAGCATCGCGTCGCGCCGACTTTCTATTAATATCGGGTCGAATCGGGCGGGATTTAAAAATAAAGAGCTCTTGCCTGTTGAGAGAGGCGACCACCGTATCCGACCGAGCGAGTGGAAGAGAGAAGGAAAAGCGCAGGGAAGGTCTATTTTAAAATTGCTTGAGGCCGTCGTCACCACGTCTGACGCATCGACTGGCGATTAATCGTTCCTCCTGCACCTTTTTTCGGGGGTAACAGCTATTAAACATTTCGCCAAAAGACCGGCGAGATGGGCATATTAATTTCCAGGTTTCGGGTAAGTACTTTGTTGCTTGGATCGTCGCATGAACCGCTTTCGAAATTACCGATCGGACGCGTTGACGCGTTTCGAGGTTATGAATCTCGCGAGAAATGCGCGGCTCCACGGCGGCTATTTTGATCATGTTTTCCGAAGTGATGTTTCTTTAATCTCAACTGCCAACCGACGAGGGCATTGCATTTTGAGGTTAGGTTTAAAAAGAATTCCAAATTGGATTCTTAAAAGCGCGCTTTACCGATTTTGAAAAAAATAATTGAATGGTATTAGACTTGATGCGTTTCTTTTTTTTTTTAATTGTTATCTTATAAGATTGATTATTATTTAGAGTATAGAGTTTAAGGAAGGGAAGATGTTTTATTTATCTTAATTTTGAAAGGATCTTATTTTTAAATCTAATTAATTAACTGCTATATTTTTGCTCAGCGTAAATGGTTTGTTATATGAATTTCTCCTTTTTTTGTTCCTACACCGAATTGCAAGCTTTAATTAATTCCTTTAGTTTAAGTGAAATATCATGCGATGACACTGCAATTCCATTGTGTTGCTTTTTATTCAAACTAAGGAAACTGATCTACATTGTTGGACTTTAAATTAATAGAAATTAATTTACGCACAAGATGTTATAAATAATTGTACACTTTGAAAATAAAAATGTGTAATACAAAAGATGTTATCTTGAAACTGTAAAGAATGACGCTTGATTAAACGTTGGTTTTATTGATGCCTCACATTAGTATGCTAAAGCAATAGGTGTAAGTGAGGTCACTCTTTATATTTAGTACACATCCTGTGCTTCTCATTAAATATTCGTCAACCATTGCCACCAGACCTTATCCTTTTATGTTTCAGAAAAAGAAAACGACGATTGAAGTTTTGGAGGATCTTGATGTTGTAAGTAAATTATATTATATATGTATTATATTTATAATTTTTCATGCCCAGCCAAATTCCTTTTTCTTGTAGAAAATTAAAGAAATTGAAGAATATGGACAACATACAGAGCACAGGCATAAAAAGATCGTCGGCACTTTAATTATCTACAGCGTAGCACTGTACATTATAGCAGCGTTCATTTTTTATTTCTACTTCTTTCCTGCGTCTCTCTACGACCAGCTAATCTACATTACTCCGCTCCTGATCTTTCCTATCATGTATGGTATCGTTCTAGTATTTCTATATATTTTGACATAAATACTTTACAAAATGATTACATAAATGTGATTTATTTATGCAGAATATTATTAACAAAGAAAATGGTCTCTTGGTACTATAAACGAAAAATTTCACGAAATTATGACAAGCTAACAACCATGCAGAAAGAGAAAAAGAAGATTTTGGATGAAGTTACTGAAACGGAAACTTATAAGAAAGCTAAGGAAATTTTGTTGAAATTTGCACCTGATCAGCTGAGAATGACATCCGTAAGTTTTATCATGCTCCATACGAATCTAGTCCAAGTGATATGTGGTACCGTTTTGTTCATTCCTCTATTTTTTGTTTTTCAGTTATCACCACAGGTTTGTATGACTAGTCATAGAAACTTGGCAGCTTGAATGCATTTCATCAGTTATTTTAATGGAATTTTGCATTTGTCTGGGTGAGATTATAGGATATTATCTATATAATCTGTTAATTGTAGCAAGCACCTAAAATAGTAACTGCAATGGAAACACCACGTCGACCCAGTGCACCTCAAGCTGCCGTGCCATCGCTGCCGACAGCTGATGGATTAAGACGCAGAGCACTTACAGTTTCATCTGTACTGCCACAATCGCCAATCGGTATGACATCTAATGTCGGATTGGCACCATCAGGTGTATCTCCTTTCCCCACACCCTTAAGCAGCCCATATCAGGCAGGCGTTAGATCTCTTAACAGTTCGGCCATGGAACCTCGTTAGTGTGATTTTGTTTACTAATTTTTTGTATTGAACCCGTAATTATTCAGTTAATCGTAATGACGTGTATATATCGAGTTGATTTCGATATGTGTTTTGTCTATGATATGAAAATGATTATTGATATCAATCGTTTTCTTAATAGGAACACCATTACCCCGTCCCATCTTTCCACAGCAGAGGACCTATTTGGATCGTTTGGTGGAATATCTAGTGGGTGATGGACCATCTAATCGATATGCTCTAATCTGTAGACAATGTGGATCGCATAATGGAATGGCTCTAAAAGAGGAATTTGAGTATTTTGGTGAGCCATCTCCTTCACTCTGTAGAAATCATGCCGAAAGACGATATTTGGATAAAATTATTGTAAGACAATAATTACAGGATATAGGTGTTCGTATTGTAACTTTTGGAATCCGGCTAGAAAACAAAAACCGTCTGCTCCAAAGTTGGAAAGTGATTCCAGCAATGTTTTCTCCCCAAGTACGCTTTCAAGTAGTCAGCAGCCAATATTGAGTACCCCAAGTACTATTCACTTATCGGAGAGACAATCGGAGCAAGATATATCTTCTGGTCCTTCAGATACAGGTGATAAAACAGAAATAAATGAGCGTGTGCATCAAGTCAAGTGTTAAAAGTATATATACATACAATAGCGAGCAAGTCCTTCAAAAGTGTAAATCAATGAAATTTAATTATAATTACATAACACCCTTTTGCTTCTCCAATTACTAAGCTGCAAATTTTAATGTAATTCTTGTGCATTGGTAATTTTCTATATTTCTTTCAGAATCTGACGCTGAAGTTGCCGAAAAGTCTGTTGAAAGGATTGAACACACAAAAGAGCCGACGAACGATGAAGGTAAGGAGAGATTATTCGAAACATGTAGAGTATTTTAAAATATATATTAATTATCACATTTTGAGTAGTTCGCAGTTCACTAAATCCGTTCGAGTCTGGTTCAGAGGAAGAAGCAATAGAGGAGGTGCCCGAAAGAGCCGATGCTCACAACAAGAAAGAATTTGCTATCGAGAGAATGGAAGTGGACGAATCTCCGAAAGTAAATTGAAAACTTTTGGGATTTCTTCGAAATCATTGGAGGATCATATTTTGTCGTCTGTTACATAGCTCTTACCAGTACGTGTTCACGCAAAAAATCACAACCATTCCGAAACCTTTCCGGTCCCCAATTAATGCTTTAACAGCATGTTATTATTTATTTTATCACTACTGTACACACTCTGTTGCATTAATACGAAATGTTTTATCTGCGTATGTTATTCTCTGCAGTCCGTATTCTCTTCATTTTAAAATGCTGTATAATGTAAAAAGTATTTCTGAAAAAGAGTAATTCGCTGCGTATTGACGCGTTAAGGTCAGGATGCTGTTAATTCATTCACTTCTATTAGGTGAAAATGGAATTTTCTGTGATAACTATGCTCTTCACTGAGAAATAGTTTAAATAAAAATTTAATTGACACATCTTTTTATACAGTGAGCACAAAAATGTTAAGCGGCCTATGTCTCAAACAGCAAAGACTGCAATTAAAACCTCTTCGTTTAATATAATATTGAATCGATGCTCCGAACAATTTCTATAATACATCAATGAATCAGAAAAATGTTATATTTGAACCATGAAACTTGAAAACATTTTTGATTAACAAGGCAGTATTTCTAAACTTAATCCTTATAGCGTTATTGGACTAGGATCAAACTTCAATAGTGCGTATAAAGAGAAAACACAATGGTGATTACTTACATTATTTATGTTTATCTTAGCATTGCGATATTCGTGGAAGCGGTCCCACTGATTTTACCCGTGATTAAACGATAAGAGATTTCATCTACCATCAAAGTGTAACATAATGCGCAGTGTATTAAGCTCCCACTTTGTGAAGCACGCCTTGACATTATGCGTAACATTATTAAATATGATAGAAGATTTAAACACGTAATGTAAGTAGGAGAGTGCGTTTGTTATTTGGAGAATTGTGACAGGAAAATATACTTTTGTAACGAAGTCTACAAAAACTAATCTTTAACTTTATACCTTTTTTTTTTTAGGGGGAGTTTGAAAATTGGTTCTCCCTCGATTGTGTAACTTAGTAATTTATTTGATAGATGTATGAATGAAACTCAGTTATTCGAAGCAGTGATATTTATTTGTCATGTGTTTTAAAATACCTTATTACAGGCATTATAGCTATTTCATTATTTATCTACACCTTAGTCTATGAAGTTATCTAATAGTCCTATATGAAAGAATGTACAAATCAAGTTGTTTTCAACAAAAGCAATGAAATGCCTTTTTCTAACCGTCCACTTCCTGCTTTAATTTATTAATTTTTATGGGAAGTAATTCCACGATATCTTTGCATACACTGTATTCTGTTTTAACCAGTTCTATAGCACTTGGGTGTTGGTTGCAATAGTCTGCTACAAATTTATAAGCTTTATAACTATGATTAATGTTGTCTAATTGCATACGCTTGTCGGGTGTTATGATTTTACTGTACAATATGCCGACGTAGAAATATGAGTATAATCCTAAATGTACCAAGTTGTCAGGGAATTTTTTTGAGTCGGATACATCAAAGTCCACCAAAGAGTCTATAAACTTTTGGAAATACATGATGGCACTTTTTGCTAGATGGTTTACTTTATTTATTGCAGCAGGCGCAGGGTGATCGGTAGCCCGTAATCGATCCAGCTTAATATCCAAGATAGCGGAGTATATATCTCCAATCTCGATCCAGATTTGCCTACAAGCAGATTGATAATATTGCGGATTTAGCTGTTCGACAAGGTTTTCCAGGATGTCCAATCTACGTTTGTGCATCTTAGCCTGTCGGTCTTCGCTTTCCTCAAAAAATGCCAAATGCTTGTACGCTAAAGACATGTCTTGAATTATCTGAACATGATCAGACGCGTGATCCTCCAGAGAATAATATTCTTTAGCCTCATCTAACCATTTTTGCACGTTCAAAAATACTGCTCTAGCATCATTAAAATCTAACACATACTTATCAGTTATTTGACTAGAAATAAATTCTAAATTTTTTTCCAAACTCGAGAACTTTAAGTCTTTTAAGCAATCAGTATTTTCATCCGATGTTTGGTTTTCATCAATGTCCGATTCACTTTCTGCTTTTTGCATAAGATTGTCTCTGGACATACTCAGTAATAATATCCCATACTTAGCCCAACATCTTGCGACATCGGCACTTCTGTGTTTGAAATTTTCCTCCTGTGCCTTACTCTCTTCCTCACTTTTTCCAGCGGAATTTGCCAACTTCTTTTTATATTCACTGAGCATGTACGACGCTGCAGCCAAATGATGCCTTCCTTGGTGAAAACAATTTCTTTCTATAAAAAATTGGGACAGTGTTGCAGCATTCAAAGCCCAATCGACGTAATCCAAGTCATCGCTTTCTAATTGATGGCATAAAGTTGTGTGACAATAGACAGCAGACTTAAGATGCTCGTTCAGCATTCCATATACTTGTGCCAGATAATAGATTGTCAGGGTGTGCAATTTCTGGAGCATCTTCGTAGAACTGAGATCATCCGTGCTTACATCAAATATTTCTGCCATACCAATAGGAGGTCGATAATTTTCATCCTTTGAGTAATCATTGTAGATTTGTTCTGCACGTTCAAAAAATTCCTTTGCTTTTTCAGGTTCATTCCGTGTTGACCAAAGTACTCCCAGTTCATTGAGTACTCCCAGCATTTGTAAAATAGTATCTGGTCTGTTTTCCTTTCCTTTCAAGATGTTAAGGCAATTCATAAGGTATTTTTCCCCAACTGAAAGCTCTTCAGTTGCAATGGACGTGACGCTTAAATCTAACCAAACCGTGGACAGCATTGGTAGAATCAAATCTCGTTGTTCCTCGGTGAGATCAGAATTCAACAATGCAGAAAGCCGAGTCTGCATTTCGTTTAATATATCAATTGCAGCATACTTGCTCTTATAAGGTTCGTTTTTAGAATCCAGAGTGCTCTTTTCATCTAACAATCGTCTTACTTCTGCATACTTCTGCTTTATTTCTTCTAAATCTAATGAACCCATCTCGCCGGCTTAAAAATAAATTACATTTATCACTAAAAATTAGCACTCTATTCAAGTCAATCTCTACACATATAATTCTTAAAAGTGTTGTCACTCATAAATAATTACCTTCTTCACACAAGCAGAAACTGTATACAATATTGATTTATATCCTATAAATGTTTTAATAAATATATATTTATTAAATTGAGTCCATACGAACTGTATGTACGACTAACTACGAAACTGTCACACACTGTCACAGCAAATATAAACATTATTGCAGAGATGAACGGGGAGATGTTTCACGCCATTATTTGAAAGTGAGGCACGGCCCACTGGCGCCCTCTACGCTCTTTACACCATTGTAAAATTGGAACTACTTTCGAAGGGGCGAAATTTTTGTAATCGGTAAAACAGGGCATACATATGTACCGCGTCGTAATTTTAATCATTCACACATAACAACTTTATTTGGTATTCATAGTCTTCTTTCCTAACCTACGCTGATGCTAATACTGAAAACGAAAAGGCGATAACTTCATTCTATCAATACTGTGCTGTATTTGAAATCTGCGGACGCATTTTTCTTTACCTATGGAGAACATTTCGCCCCTTTGAAAGCAGTTCCACGGCGCTAGGGAGCCATGCCTCACTTTCAACAAAGGCGTGAAACATCTCGTTCATCTCTGATGCCATATATGCGATTTAACTGCCACCTTCGTTTTCTTTGTCTCTTAAAACTCGTGGGTTGTTGATACGAAGTTACCGGTAAATTTCATTTTCAAAACGGAGTAATAAATTAAGAAATGGAAGACAGCGATGAGGATATTATGTTAGAGGAGGAGTCTGAAGGTGAAAAACGTACTCCTGAAGATACCTTTAAAATTCTGATAGCAACTGATTGCCATTTGGGTTATGAACAGAATAGAAAGAGAGGTTTGTTTCATCGCTAAGTTAACGTGATCATTTTATTGTAACCACTGGAAAAGTTAACGTTTCGTCCTTGATTATTAGGAAACGAGTCAGACAGTTTTATAACATTTGAAGAGATTTTAACTTATGCCAAAACACACGATGTAGATTTTATTCTTCTTGGAGGTGATTTATTCCATGATACTAAGCCTTCTCAAAATGTCGTTATGCAGTGTATGAGCTTGTTAAGAAAATATTGCTTGGGTCCAAGGTATGGAATGATCTGTTATACACTTTATGTATTTTGTAATAATTAAGTATACTATGAAGTGTGTAACAAATTTATATCTCTTCTATGTAAGGAAACAGAAAATTAAATTCCTAAGTGATCCCGAGGTAATATTTCAACACTGTCAGCACAAAGTTTTAAACTATGAGGATCCAAATATAAATGTCAGTATCCCTGTCTTTTCTATTCATGGGAATCATGACGATCCAAGTATGTAATTTCTATTTGAATTAAAAGATTGTTATTTCAGGCTTTAAATATGGCTCTTTAATGTTTAATTCCATTCATTAGGTTTTGGGTCAGTGGGCTCTTTAGATTTATTAGCAGTATCTGGTTTGGTTAATTACTTTGGCAAATGGACAGATTTAACCAGAGTTATTATCCCTCCATTAATTTTTAAGAAAGGTAAAAGCCACGTTGCACTTTATGGTTTGAGTTACCTAAACGATCAGCGATTGTCGCGATTATTCAGGGATTTTAAGGTAATTTGAAAAATTTAGTATGCTTCAGATTAATTATTGATACAATGTACATATATGTACATAAGATACATTAAACATTGTTACAGGTTGATATGCTCAAATCAGAAGAAATGCCGGAATGTTTTAATATTTTTGTACTTCATCAAAACCGTGTAAAACATGCAGAATATGCATACATTCCAGAAAACAGATTCCCAAACTTCTTAAACTTTATTTTGTGGGGGCATGAACACGAATGTCGGATTGAGCCAGAATACATTGAAGAACAAAATTATTACATTTGTCAACCTGGTACGGTTTATTCACATATAACGTTCAAATTGACCCATAACACTATAAATAAAATTCCTGCCAATTTATAGGTAGTTCCATTGCCACATCATTGTGCCAAGCAGAAGCAGAGCCAAAGCATGTGGCCATTTTACAAATCCATAAATTTGATTTTCAAGTACAAAAACTGAAGTTAAAAACAGTGAGGCCCTTTGTTTTTGACAATTTATTCCTTGATGACGAGGAAAATATTTCTAAAAACTACATTGAGAAAGGGGCAGAAAGTATTTATGAATATGTAGATAATTACATTGAAAATATGATGATACCAAAAGCAGCTAAACAATTGACTGGTTTGTAGTTTTCCTTTAAATGGTTGCACATGTAGCAATGAATTGTTACGATCAATTTATTCAAATAAATTATAGTAGATTTAACTAATATGTGGATGCTGTAGAAGAACTTGGTTCAACTGCACAGATTACAAATTGATTTCATTTAGTGTAAGGTGTTTAACCACCTTTAGTATGTCTTTATATGTTATTCAGTATTTAAAAGAAATATTTTTACATGTACAGGGCATCCGCAACAGCCTCATCAACCTCTAATTCGACTAAGAATATTTTATTCGAATGAGGAGCATGTTTTTGATACAATAAGGTACATAAATAGAAGAGAAAAGGCTTTTAATAATTTCACTGTTTCATCTCTTTAGTCATTCATTTTATCCTATAATTCAATATTTATCAGATTGGCCCAAAAATACTGTGATGAAGTTGCAAATCCAACAGACATGATTATCTTTCGAAAAGTGAAGGGTACTGGATCAAAAGCTATGATGAAAATGGATGCAGACAACGATGCCTATAATATAGCAGGGATTTTTGGTTACGAAGAAGTAAGTAACTGTGGCATATAGAAATTACATCTTTTTAATCGTTTTCTTTTTATCTTTAACCTTAATATAATCATTGCTATATTATCTTCACCATTTTTCTTAAAACGATTTATTAATTCTATACCATAGTATTTAGTACAAATATGTATTACTAATTTCAATCTTGTTGACAAGGATGAACGAAACTGGAATAAGAGTATAATAGAAGGAATAAAGAAGCATTTTGAGTCACAGGAAAACCAAGATAAATTAACTGTCTTATCTGTAACTGGATTAAATGAAGCCTTGATGAGATTTGTTGAAAAAAATGATGGTGATGCATTTAAAGATGTTATCAAGTAATTAATTCTTACATAATATCTCATTTAGTTCATTTATAAAGAAGTATTTTATTTGTAAAATATCATAAATTATGACTAGACATCAGAAGAAAAAAACCATGGAACGTCTGCAGGGTTTAGATGTCGAATTGCCTGAAGATATTTTAGAAGAGATAAAAAAATATCGAGATGAAAGACTCGAAAAGGACAAAGAAGAAGAAATGGATGTGAGTATAATTATCTATAAGTATTATATTCGATTTTTATTAATTTTCATAACTTTTTTGTTTGGTGGATGTGGCATAAGTTATATTTTTAGACTTGTAGATAAAATTTTCATTACATATTATACTCTGATTTAGTTATTCAGAATATGAAATGATGGACTTTGTGGATTCATTCATTTCAACCATGTATAACATACACAAATACGCATTGAATAATTTTAACATTCCACCGACATAGGTACGTGAAATGTTAAATGATAATAATCGTAAATTTGGTGGAGAAACTTTAAAAGATCTGGATGACTCTGTCAGTGATGAAGAATCTAGTGACTTTAATAAAAGTGCCGTAATCGGAAAAGGAACCAGAGGTGTAAAGCGAGGAAGACCAACCAGCTCTAAAGTTACTAGCCGAGGTAGAAGTAAGGCAGTCAATAAAAGCATTTTTGATCTTACTGAATCTCCACCTCCAACATCCAAAGCTCGAGCACGCGGTAGAGGAACCGCATCAAACGCTAAAGCAGCTCAGAAGACTCAAGATTTAAAAGTAAGTAGAAATTGCTTAATTAAAATAGTAAATAACTACGTATGATGAATACAAATGTTAGTTATACATATATTATTTATATATTCTAGGGTCAGAGTTCCATGCAAAACTTCTTACGGCCACAACAAAGTGAATCTCGGTCCACAAAAGCAAAAACATTGTATAACGTAACCATATTTGATGATTCCGACTAACTGATAAGTACTTCTTTACATTTAAGCACAGAGTTTTATCCTTAAAGTGCAAAACGCATTGATTGCGTACAGCACAATATTTTATGTACTACACATTTCATAATAATATATTAAAACTACTTTGAAATATATGCATATATGTGCATTTGATGTTTGTTTATAATGGCTACTTGAAGTTGTAAGATTCGTCACTAATATTTGTATGAAAATATATAAAGGTGGAAGACCAAAAAGTAAATTATGGGATGAAACAAATGGACAAGATGGATGCAGAGATGTCAAATCCGAGATGAGTTGAGAGATTCACGGGAAGGATCGAGCGACCGCGTCCTGTTCGACCTCCGGTAGAGGATGCAGACGGCTAATGCACTTGCCACCTGTTACAAATCTGGGCAGCCGGAGAACCGGCTGAAAAAGTGAAGAACTCCTCACAAAAACTCCAAAACCCTGTATCTCTTCCGAAAAAAATCGCATCCACTAGCTCGAGAGATCAATTTAAACGGAACAACCTTCCCCATCAAGCTACCGTGGACGCAGTTCTCATCGCGA